ATTTTAAGCTTTTCATCAATTGACTCATCCAATGAAACAAACTAAAAAATGATATGTATACTTAGATGATTATTTTATGCACCTTCTTGCTTTTACCTTTGTTGATTTTATATGTAGTCACAACATGTTTCGTGTCGGCATTCTGCATTGCTTTGCTCTTACTTTTTGGTCTTATATTACATGCTAATCATGCTTACTAATTCTAATAATTTTTTTTCTTGTTACAGACGACAGGGCTCAGTCCCCTGAGAGACCTCGCATTCAGGGGACTTTAGGGAATACATATCAGAGGCTGAAAAAGGTCGTTACTAGTGCTGAGAGGTGTGACAATCCTACAACCACTATGATCACTCCTCCCACTACCCCTCCTCCCACACCAGCTCCCTAAGAGACACCACCTCCCACACCTACACCGGTTATCCATCCAGATTCCTCCTGTGATGAGCTGGGTTCCTCAACTCTTGCACCTCAGATGGTTGAATCTTCCAACAGAGTATATATTGTGTCAAAGGGAGACACATTAGAGTAATTTCAATTTTCAGCTTGTTTTTTATTGTAACATATATTTCAATTTTAATTTCTTCCCTTTCATGCTGCCCGTGACACGTATCACAGAGATCATCCAGAGCAGTTACGATTAGTCATTTCTCTTATGGAAATAGAATCTGATTACAACTTAGGATATGTGATTTTGGGAGTTTGAGGTTGGCGAGTATGTCTGGGCTGATTTGAACAGAGCCTGGTCCTTTCCAAAATACCAGAGAAAAAGACAAAGAAACCATCAGAATTGGACAATGAAGGGAGCTAGAGGGGTTGCACTCCACATTTGAGATTCGATCCCCTACACAGAGCACTACCAGAGACTGGTAAGATTTTCTCAAAATTTAGAAGCTCGAAAATTTATGTATTTATGTGATTCTTAAATTTGTATGATCGTGTATACTGAACGAGCAGTTTTACTTAGAGTCGTCCACTACAAAGTTGTATGTCCTCATACATCGGTGTCCGAACACACATCAGCTTTCTTACGTGAAGATTTGGAAGAGGAGCTATACATAGTTTAGCCACAGGGTTACAAGGTTCCAAGTAAAGAAGGTTTGGTCTGCAAATTGAAGAAGAGTCTCTATGGCTTGAAGTATGCTCCAAGATAGTGGTATAAGAGGTTTGACAAGTTCATGTCAGATAATGAGTATTGAATTGCCAGACAGACCACTGTTGATTCATCAAATACTTCGGTAACTGTTAATGTATGTAGATGACATGTTGATTGTAGGGCTAAATATGAAGAAAATTAATGACTTGAAGAATCAGTTATCAAGTGAGTTCTATATGAAGGATTTAGACCCAACTAGAAAGATTCTCAGGATGAGAATAAACAGGGACAGAAGTGCAGGAACACTGAAGTTGTCTTAGACAAAGTATGTTGAAAAGATTCTAACGAGATTCAACATGAGTTTCAACATGACTGAGGCGAAACCATCCCCTTAAGTAATCACTTTAAACTATCTAAGGAGTTATCGCCAAACTCTGAAGCAGAGCAAGTACAAATAGAAAAAAGTCTGTATGTTTCACCAGCTAGAGGTTTGATGTATGCGATGATTTGTACAAACCATATATTGCATATGCAGTGGGAGCGGTCTGCAAGTATATGGGCAATCCAGGCAGACATCATTGGGAGGCGGTAAAGTGGATTCTCAAGCATTTGAAGGGAGCAGTCAACAAAGCACTTTGATATGGAGGTGTAATGATCAGTCTAGAGGGATTCGTAGATTCATATCTGGTAGAAGATGTGGACAGTAAGAGAAGTACAATGGGATATATCTTCACATTAAAGAATACAACGATGAGTTGGGCTTCTAGATTGCAGAAGATTGTTGTACTTTCAACTACAGAGGCCTAATATATTGTTATTAGTGATGCCAACAACGAGATGATTTGCCTACAGATTTTCATGACAGAATTGGGCAAGGAGTGGGGGATTGGACGACTCTACATTGAAAGTATGAGTGTGATTCATCTTGCTAAGAAAGTTGTTTTTCATGCAAAGAAAGAAACACATTCAACTGAGGTATTTATTACATTCGCTCTCTTCTTAAAGATGGGCGGTTATTCCTGAAGAAGATACACAACTCATAATCCTACAAATATGTTGACGAAGGTGGTAACTGTTGAGAAACGAAGTTGTGCTTCGCTTCAGTTGGGTCTCTTGAATGTTGAGACCGAGGGTAAGCCACACCACGATACTTGAATATGAAGGTGATTCAGATTGAGGTACAAATACAGAGGACTGATGTTGGGTACAATTGTCTCCATGTAGGAGATTATTGTGAATATGGAGCCAAAAAAACCCCCAAGATCCCGTCGCCTATGAGCCGTTTGGGCACATAAGTATCCATCATTGGGTGCTGACAGAGAGGGGGGAGCCTTTGCGTGCCCTTTGGGCACTCAAGTGGCCATACTTTTGGCGCAAACAAAGGTGTCGACGCTCAAGCGCCTGGTTTGCTGGGCGCGATCCCTAGAGCTTGGCGCTTAGGCGCTAAATCTAAACGCCTAAGTTCCTAGTGCAGTTACTACGCTTTTTGAGTTTTAAACCCAATTTTGAGCAGTGTAATGATGGGTGGGTGTACGTCTTCCTTTAGTGTCCTTCAACAAGTTTCTGATGAAGGAGAAATGAGTTGGAGAGAAAGATTTTTGGGATCTAGACATGTGTTTTTTCGCGTTGGATCGAAAAAAGAAGATTGTGGAGTGTCCTGCAAGTTGCTTCATATGAGTGTAGAGAAGAAACATGTATGACTCTTTTGTAAAACCATCTAATTTTTATAGTGAATTTGTGGTGGTGCGGCTCTGTGATTTTTTCCGACTCTTGGGTTTTTCCACATAAATTTTCGTGTGTTTTTCTGGTTGTTTTGATTTTGTTTCTGTGCTTAAATTTATTATGCACCTTTTCTCAAATCGTGTGATCATGTTACACTGTGAAATTAGAAGGAGATTCTTTCGGAGTAATTTCTCCCAACATTTTTCAATGATCTTAAATAATATTGATGTCTAGCCCATGAAAGACTTTCTTGACAACCACAAATCAATTTAAGAAGTATATTAAATATTATGTATAAATTTCATATCATCTAAATCAATTTGATCAGTGCATGCAATGTTGTATAGAATGATGACCAAACACATCGCTTTCTAATTTGATAATTTAAAAAAAATTAAGGGAGAATATATTATTTTGGTATATTTTTTGAAGATGGTTAGCAAAATACCACTATACTTACTAAACAGAAATATACCTTCTATACTAAAAATATGGAAGAGTCTCTATCTAGCCATACACAACTCAAATGCACAACAAATCCGTAAGCATGATGCAAGGTATTTGCATGTATTCTATCGTCAAAATAATGTAGAGCAAAACAAAACCTTTATAAACCTTAAAAATGAGCAATGTAATTCTTCTTAACTTATAAACAAGGACTCGATGTCCTTTCGTCACACATTTCATGCTCTCATATAAAAAATATTTATATTTCTCATCTATATGTGATTTTCTGGGGCTTGAAACAAAGTTGTTGACGAATAATTAAGATATGTAGTAACACATAAACTCTATCATAAACAATTTATGATCGACTAATATTATCAAATGTGCACATGTATGCTATGATATAATGCTTGAGATTCTCCATATCAAGTCTAAATATCAACTCTTGGAAGTAATTATTTTGAAGAGAAATATAATAACTAAATATTTGACCCTAATAATGATTACATTTTTTTTAACATTCATTCAAATTAAATGATAAATATTGAGAAATTTATCTAGCAAATAAATAGTGTACATGAACTATGAAAATGAAGGCTGCAATCTTATTAGGCATCCCAACTTAATAACCATGAAAAATCAGTACCATAATCACAACCATAGTGTAAGACGGCAAACTCGATCTTTGTTAAACATATAAAAAAATGTTTGAATGAGGAGTATGAGCGCACAAGTAATTAAAAATTTAAAGGATATTGAGAAAGAAATTATGGATTGATAAAGAGGAGAGAAAGGATTTATAAAACGAGAGATGAGGGTAATCACTAGCTCCATCCCAAATTTTACTTCAACAATTAGCCATATTTATTAAATAAAAAATAAAAAATCCTCGACAGTGTTTGGTTGTAACCTGAATTTACGTTAAATAGAATTTATCATATTCAATAAATCGGATGGTCTTTAAATCAGATAGTTTCTACAACGAAGATGAGCTAGCGAGTGGCAGCAAGAAAAAAATCTTAAATGCATCTCACAGTCGGATTTACTAAGTCCGGATTTATGTCCTAAAAGAAACGAAAAGTGGGAAGAAAAAATGCGAAAAAATTCAATTTAAGAGACGGTTGGATTTATTTATTTATTTATTTTTATGTTAGCCTGAATATACATTAAATCTATTATGTTACCAAACACCATATAAGAATACCTCACATGTAAGATGTTGTCTAAATGACATTCATTAGCCAAAAACTAAACTGACGTTCTCCTTTTCTTAGTTCTGCATCCCCTGTAAACAACTGACCTCCGATAATTTCTCTTAGAAATTTTGGCTATAAATGTATTGGCAATGGTGAAATGTAACATATCCCACAATCTAAATGTTCAAACTAAAACAAGGACATAAATTGCATGCATGAATTTATATGATCACCAAATAACGAAACAAACATAACCAAAAGCATCAAATGAAATCTGGATGTACCTCCTCCTCCACTTTGCTACAATCCCTTAGAAAATGTTGGTTGATCGAATATTTTTGAAATGGTTCGTCAAACTCCTCTTTTTCTTTGTCCAGGTACTCGCTCCATTTGCTCGATGTCCCCTTCCCAACAGCAACAACACACTCTCCCTTGCTCTTTTGCGAGATGCCTATAAACATTTTCCCAATCAAAATAAACAGATTTGTATTATTCAGCCACACTTTTTTTTTCTTGGAAAAGAAATCATCACATGCCTTTGTATTTAACATCGTAGCTCCTTGAGAAATTCTTTGATGGCATCTTTTTCATCTTCTTTCTCAGCTGCCTCTTTGAAAAGTGATCTAGATCCTTTGTAGGGAGGTCTGCAGTGACATTGCGAAAATTAGGATTTCTTGTTCAGAGCAAAAATGCCAAAAGAAAAAAGGACAACTTTACATAAATTCCAGACAGTTCTTATGTATTTATTTATGTAACACCCAAAGTTTGATATTTACATTTATAACATTTTAGTTCCATAAATCCATACAGTTCTTTTGTATAACATATGTAACACCCAAAGTTTGATATTTACATTTATAGTGCCTTACTGTCATAAATCTATACATGAAAAAGTGTATCACTTTTATAAAGAATGTGATGGTGGCATTTTTAATATGAGTTGAGGATTTAAGTGATATGGGCGTAAATAGGAAGGTTTAGGTGTTTGATAGATAAATATGTAAGAATTGTATGATATGTCTCTATAAATCCGTTAAATCCAACTAATAGTTGGATCTAATAAATCCGGATTTATGTTATTAAATAAAGGGAGCACAAAACAATAAGATTTAATTTACCCATAAATTTATACAATCCATTGCCGGTGTTTTGCTAGATTTAAGTTAAATGAATACCTAAATCCTATTAAAATTCTCTTACCAAACACCTCCTAAGAAAAGATTTATAGTGGAATAGAAAGGAAAAAAAGAAATGCGAATGAAAATTACAGAGTTTAGTAGTGGAAGAAAACCAAGACACACTAACCAGTTGCACACTAATCGAAAGAACCAAGAAAAAAAGGGATGCCAAGTGTGCCATCCGGAGGGAGAGCGATAGGCTTCCACATAAAGACATTGTTGCCAAGTAGTTGCAACGAAGAAAACAAAAAAAGATTGTTCTCAGAACGAAAGAATTAGATTTGTGAAAGAGGAAGCGGGGAGAGAGCTCCATGGATTTGGTTGGAAAAGATGGAAAACAGAGAAGAAACTAGAGAAGTGTCTGATGGTCGTGGAGACGAAAAAATATTAGGTGCGGCTGACTGTACCTCCGGACAACGGTTCAGATGTGGCCATGTTGGATCACAGTGCAGCCCATCCGGACGTGCGGTCATCGGATATAATATTTTCTCCGTGGAGATGGAGAAGCGAGCGGGAGATTTACAGAGTGCTATATTTCATGAACAGAGAAGTTCAGGTTGGTAGTTTTGTTATATTAAGTTTGAGCTGTTATGCTAGTAAACTATGTAGTTTTGGGTGACATATATGCAAATCCCCCTCCACAAGATTGCTGGTAATTTAATTTCGTTGTTTTATAAGCCAGAGGCTAATGCAAGTATAAAAAAAATTTAGTTTTCTGAATTACTAAAATGAGGAGAAAAATAGGTAATGAATGTCAAAAGACCTGTGGCAAATTGATTAAAGATAGCTGTATCTTCAAGTTTGCGGGTTTGAGACATGTTTTAAGTGGTTTATCACTCACCATGGGAATAATGTTAGCAATTAAGTATTAAATTAAACGTTCATTTACTTATTAAAAAATGTTTCCACATTATGCCTCTCTATATAATCTTATAGGAAGACAACGCAATTCAATTCACCATAAATCTAAGTAAAACCTGAACCAAACCAAGCCTAACTTGTTAATAGGCTCCCACGGACAGGGAAGAAACTTGAGAAGTGTGTGTCACGGTTGTGGAAACGGCGAAGTAGGGAGTGTTACATTTCATGAACAGAAAAATTCAAGGTGGTAGTTTTGTTATATTAAAGTTTGAGGTGTTATGTGAGTAAAATATGTAATTTTGGGTGGTATGCATGTAAGTCCCCCTTCAAAATAACGTTCCTCCTAATACAATGGCTCTACAAGATTGCTGGCAATTTAATTTCGTTGTTTTATAAGCCAGAGGCTAATGTAAGTATAATAAAAATTTTAGTTTTTTGAATTATTCTCTTTGCTTTCTTTTGAAATTAAATGAGGAGAAAAATAGGTTAGGGATGTCAGAAGACCAGAGGTAAACTGATTATTGATGGTTGTATCTTTAAGATTGCAGGTTCGAGACATATTTTTAGTGATTTATCACTCACCATTGGAAAAATGAAAGCAATGAATTATTCAATTAAATATTCAGACAATTGTTTAATAATTTTCCCACATTATTCCTTTATATAGAATCTAATAGAAAGACAGCAAAATTCAATTTTGTTGTGAATTGGACCTAATTGAGTGTCCCACTAGTAAAAGTGAGAATATTAAAGAAGTCTAGGGGTTTATTAGTAAAATATTGTAAAACCCTATTTAAGCTCATAAGTAGGTTTTGAGCACACACAGACTTGCTACGTAGGGCCGAGCTGGGGTATTTGAGGGCCCCGTGACTCATTTTTTATATAAAAAGAGAGATTACAGAGATAAGAAAGAGGGAAGCTCCCTCTAGAGTATGGGTCAAGATTAAAGAGCCATAAAGCCCCTTAAATGTATTGGACTCCATATTTATGAAAAATAGAGAGCTATCAAGAAGAAAATTACATCTTTACCCCTGCTTTTATGAGGGGGTTACAAGATATTTTGATGTCTCTCCAGATTTAGGCATCTTTTGATGTCTCCAGATTCTTCAAATGGCGTCTTTTCATATTCGTAATTGATTTAGGCATCTTTTGATGTCTCCGGATTCTTCAAATGGCGGATCCTTCCGGATCAACCAAGAAGGTGTCGATCAGTTATTTTACCTAGATGACGGGCGTCCCTTGCTTTAGGAAGTCGTTTGGGTTTGAATACAGCAGATGGTTGAATCTGGGTGGTCGGTCAAGGATGGTCGGCCGGTTACTTGAAGGACGGTTGTCCTCCATATGTGGTCAGCCGACTCCTTGCTGATGGACGACCAAGATGGTCGGTCGGTTGGAAGGATGGGTTCCGGCTGGTAGACTGGAGAACTACATGTCTTCATATTTTCTGTCATACATGATTATCTACTTTCAATCGACCTATAGGGTTTTTGGTTGGTCGACCTTAAGACGGTCGGCCGGCCTTGAGTTCTCCGGTCGAACATTAGCATTTGATCGGGTCCATCGGGTTGCCCTGAGATCCGTGCATGTCATTTTTAGGTGTACGTATTAAATTCCTCAACTAAAATGTCATTACGCTCCAACTAAAATGTATTATTTCTTTTGATATTGCTGAGGTAATCATCCAAGAAAAAAGGGATGGACCGGACACTTAGGACTAGAAAGTGGCATAGTGAATTCTCGTACTTGGACCAGGAGGGGACTGCCTTAGCTTTGACATTCATGGTAGAGAGTGTTGAAGTAGGAGAATATGATAGGAGTGGGGAGGATGTGTTGTTGCTACATCACAGATACATGAGACACTTATTTTAGTTTACTGAGTCGGTTGTATCATATGAAAAGACAAATAAATAAAAGTCTATTTGTGATGTTTGTAAGTTTGAAGCTCTTATATCAGCTCTGGAAATAAGAGTTCTGTTATGCTTGATAAATTATGATGTTTGAGGATCTTGTTCTATAATTTCTATAAATGGTTATCGATAGTTTGTGACATTTATTAATTATTTTTCTCGTGTTACTTGGTATATTTAATAAAAAATAAGGGTGATAGTTTATTTACTTTAAAGACTTCTATAAGGCAATTTAGACTCAATATGGTGCAGTGGTGAAGGCATTGAGATCTGATAATGGAACAGAGTACACCAACAAAACATTAGGGGAATACTTGTCAGCTCAAGGAAAACAACATCAAATCATATGTCCATACACACAAACATGAAATGGAGTAGTAGAGAAAAATAATAGACATCTTCTAATGGAAGACTGAAGCATGATGATTGTAATAAATGTCCCAAAGCACTTATGAGAGCAAGTAATTTTAATAACTGTTCAATTGATCAACAGGATGCTCTCGAGAGTGTTAGATTAGAAGTTTCAATGTCAGATGTTGAAAGCAGATAATAACATAATCCTCCAATTGAAATGTTTGGATGTGTATGTTTTGTGAAAGATAACAGAATATCAGTAGGAAGTTAGATCCAATAGCTGTGAAACGTGTGTTCGTAAGTTCTGTTATCCAAAAGGGGAATGTAGGTTAGAGCCTGGTAGAGAATATACTGTTTGTGAGCATAAATGTGTCATTTAGGGAATTTGAGCCATACTACACCCAGAAAGTGACCTCGCCCTTCAGTGACTCTCCAGATATTGAAAATATGAGGCAGGGGGTGAGTAGCAATGGTGAGAGAGTGGTACACGTGACAACACCTTGTCCTGTGATGTGGGATGAATCAATTGAGGAATTGAAAAAATGAAAAGAGTGAACCCAGAGGTTGTGGAATTCTAAGAGTGTACATGGAGAATGAAGCAAAATAAGGGGACAATGTCTGCAGTGTCACTTGTGTTAGCTAGTCCCTTGTCCCAATCTTCCCTAACTCTTGAGATACCTACACTATCCACCTCAAACTCAGAACTCCCAGGTAATATGATTCCTCCTCCTTGTCCTTACCCTCCAACTTTAAAGAAGACCACTGTCAGCAATGTGAGACATCCTCCTGATCGTTTTGAGTAGAAAAATGATATTGCAACTTTATTTCATATTATAACATATCGCATTTTTAAGGAGCATCTATTGCATCTTTGGACATTGTCTCTGTACCCAAGTGTTGGCAGTTTGCTAAGGAGGACCACATGTAGAAAGCAGATACTCATGAAGAGCTTAGAGCACTCGATAAAAACTGAACATAGGAGATAGTGCCACTACCAACAGGGAAAAAGACAGTTGAGTGCAAGTGAATCTTCACGGTGCAGCAAACTCTAAAAGGGAAGATGGAGCGGTATAAAACATGAATGGTGATGAAAGGGTACAGTCAGACATATGATATTAATGATAATGAAATCTTTGCACCAATAACAAAAATGAGCACGGTAAGGACACTGGTTTCTTAGGCAGTGAATGGTGGATGGAGGTTACACAAATTTGATTTGAAGAATGCATTTCTTCATGATGAGTAACTATAGGGGGTATATATGGAGATATCACCAGAATTTGATACAGTCCAGAGAGCGAGCAAGGTGCGTATGCTTAGGGAGTCACTATATGGCTTGATGCAGTTTCAAGCCTAATTTGACAAGTTTAAAAGGCTATGGTGGGCATAAGATATCAACAAATCAATACAGACAATACGGTGTTCTTTCGACAACATGAAGTTCACACCACTATACCTGTTGTATATGTTGATAACATCATTGTCACTGGCGATGATGGAAATAAATTGTTTAACTAAAGGTAAGAATGGACAATGAATTTGAGGTGAAGGATCTTGGACATCTCAGATACTTTCTTGAGATTGAAGTAGATCATCGACTTGAGAGGATGGTCGGGTTCCAGAGAAAATGTGTACTGGATCTCATCACAGGAAAAGACATACTGGGACGCAAATCTGCAGTCTCTTCAATTGACCAGAATGTCAAGCTAAGTGCAAATGCAAAAGAATCAATTGATCGTGAGATGTACCACTGATTAGTGGGTCGTCTAATCTATTTGTGTCACACTCGAACATACATCACTTTTGCAATGAGTACGGTGCATGATCCAAAGAATTATCATATGGATGCAATGTATCAGATTTTGTGGTACCTGAAAAGTGCATCAGAAAAGAGGTTGATCTTCATGAAGTATGGGTATGTAGACATTGAGGGCTTTTATGATGTTGACTAGGCAAGTTATGCTAATGACAGAAGATCAACCTCAGGATATTGCATGTTCGTAAGGAGCAACTTGATCTCTTGGAAGAGCAAGAAATTGCCTATAGTAACGAGGTCAGCAACAGAAGTAGAGTATAGGGTCATGGCCTTAGGAGTTAATAAGGGAGTTGCTGAGATGATGTGGCTGAGAGCCTTGTTGGTCGAGCTCAAGATGGATCAAGGTACTTAAATAAAGTTTTGATGCAACAAGTCAACAATCAACAAAGCCAACAATCTGGTGCAACATGACAGAACCAAAATTGACAGATTTTTCATCAAGGAAAAGCTGAATAATGGCTATCGGGACTAAGACGTGTAGTCACTGGAGAGCAAGTGGTTGACTGCATCACTAAGGGGTTGTTTGGTTTTTGCTGAAAATGAAATGCAATGTAAAAAGTTTACAAAGTACTATAATTATAATGTATTTGAGATAATTTCGAATTGTTTGATTCACTGTAAATAAACGTGGGACTTTATAATTGTTTGTTTGGACTGAAGTGGATTGAAAATAATATATTTTAAATATTACTTTTTGTTTGGCACCAGCAGGGAGCCGGTAGGTAGTTGGCAGCATTGGGCTGGTAAGCAACATGCATGAGCAACAGCTAAGGTGGCTACGGCGGTAGGTTGCTGACGACATCTACCTGTGACAGCAACTGTGGGTGGCGGGCAGCCTGCAGCGACAACAGCAGCAAGCAGTCAACGATGGAGGCAGCAATCGGCGATGGCGATGAGCAACGGTGACTGGGGCTATGGCGAGAGGTTAGATGGGCGGAGTGGAGTGGGCAGCGAGTGGTGGGAGG